AAGGGCAAGTGAACAATGCTTTCTCAACTAGGTTTGTGTCTTGCGGCTTTCTCTTCTAAGTTTTATGTTGCTGTTTTTCCGACTAAGTGTTTGTGTGTTTATTTTCCCCTCTAAGTTTTTATGTTGCTGTTTTTCCGACTTAGTGTTTGTGTTTATTTTCCCCTCTAAGTTTTTATGTTGCTGTTTTTCCGACTAAGTGTTTGTGTGTTTATTTTCCCCTCTAAGTTTTTATGTTGCTGTTTTTCCGACTAAGTGTTTGTGTGTTTATTTTCCCCTCTAAGTTTTTATGTTGCTGTTTTTCCGACTAAGTGTTTGTGTTTATTTTCTCCTTTAAGTTTTTATGTTGCTGTTTTTCCGACTTAGTGTTTGTGTTTATTTTCCCCACTAAGTTTTTATGTTGCTGTTTTCCTGTCTACGTTTATGTGTTACTCTTTTACTGTCTAAGTTTGTGTGTTACTGTTTTCTTTTCTAACTTTATGTCTTGCTGTTTTCCCATCTTTGTTTGTGTCTTGCTTTTTCTTGTCTAAGTTTGTGTCTTGCTGTTTTCCTGTCTATGTTTGTGTCTTGCTGTTTATGGTCTCAGCGTCTTGTCAATGTGGATGAATATTGTATTAGTTTGTTGCATTCTGTTGTATGTTGAACCGGGATCACCTCCTTCATTTTCTGCTCATCCTTCTCCTATAGTTGGCAAAGGGCGCGACGGTGTGGCTTAGGGGTGACCCAATGAGTTTAACAATTTGCTGGCCCTTTAACAACAGTTCTCATGGTTTTTCTAACAGCAGTACCATAGTACTGCGATAGAAGAGATTGGGGCCTCAACACATTATATTCCTAAGACATCATTTTTTTGCTTTTATTTCACCTCATCTTGGAGGATCCGAGATTTTGTAGGGAATTCCCAGGAAAGTGTAATAGTGTTGGGGAATGTGTGAAATGAACACCAGATAACACTCACCCTAACCCCAACCACCCTGTAATATTGGACTTTCCCGAGAATTCCGTATGAAATGTGGTGAAATAAAAGAAAAGAACCGAGTATAGTGATAAAACCAGTGTCAGTATGCAGCTGATACGCCACGCTCTCTGTTGTCTCACTGGCACAGCTGGTCCATGTTTTGTGAAAGTGGTATGTGTCCGGGCCTGGCTCCCAGTGTCCTGCCCTGGCTCCCAGTGTCCTGCCCTGGCTCCCAGTGTCCTGCCCTGGCTCCCAGTGTCCTGCCCTGGCTCCCAGTGTCCTGCCCTGGCTCCCAGTGACCTGGCGTACCGTAGCCATGTGTGGATGACATCTGGTGACAGGAGACCAGGCTGTGTGACCCAGTGTATCAATGCCATGTGTGGATGACATCTGGTGACAGGAGACCAGGCTGTGTGACCCAGTGTATCAATGCCATGTGTGGATGACATCTGGTGACAGGAGACCAGGCTGTGTGACCCAGTGTATCAATGCCATGTGTGGATGACATCTGGTGACAGGAGACCGGGCTGTGTGACCCAGTGTATCAATGCCATGTGTGGATGACATCTGGTGACAGGAGACCAGGCTGTGTGACCCAGTGTATCAATGCCATGTGTGGATGACATCTGGTGACAGGAGACCAGGCTGTGTTACCCAGTGTATCAATGCCATGTGTGGATGACATCTGGTGACAGGAGACCAGGCTGTGTGACCCAGTGTATCAATGCCATGTGTGGATGACATCTGGTGACAGGAGACCAGGCTGTGTGACCCAGTGTATCAATGCCATGTTTGGATGACATCTGGTGACAGGAGACCAGGCTGTGTGACCCAGTGTATTAATGCCATGTGTGGATGACATCTGGTGTCAGGAGACTAGGCTGTGTGACCCAGTGTATCAATGCCATGTGTGGATGACATCTGGTGACAGGAGACTAGGCTGTGTGACCCAGTGTATCAATGCTATCTGTGGATAACATCTGGTGACAGGAGACTAGGCTGTGTGACCCAGTGTATCAGTGCCATGTGTGGATGACATCTGGTGACAGGAGACTAGGCTGTGTGATCCAGAGTATCAGTGCTATCTGTGGATGACATCTGGTGACAGGAAGCCAGGCTGTGTGACCCACTGTATCAGTGCTGTCTGTGGTTGACATCTGGTGACAGGAAGCCATGCTGTGTGACCCACTGTATCAGTGCTATCTGTGGATGACATCTGGTGACAGGAAACCAGTCTGTGTGACCCAGTGTATCAGTGCTATCTGTGGATGACATCTGGTGACAGGAAACCAGTCTGTGTGACCCAGTGTATCAGTGCTATCTGTGGATGACATCTGGTGACAGGAGACCAGGCTGTGTGACCCAGTGTATCAGTGCTATCTGTGGATGCCATCTGGTGACAGGAAGCCAGGCTGTGTGACCCACTGTATCAGTGCTGTCTGTGGATGACATCTGGTGACAGGAAGCCAGGCTGTGTGGCCCAGTGTATCAGTGCTATCTGTGGATGACATCTGGTGACAGGAAACCAGGCTGTGTGACCCACTGTATCAGTGCTGTCTGTGGATGACATCTGGTGACAGGAGACTAGGCTGTGTGATCCACTGTATCAGTGCTATCTGTGGATGACATCTGGTTACTGGAAACCAGGCTGTGTGACCCAGTGTATCAGTGCTATCTGTGGATGACATCTGGTGACAGGAAGCTAGACTGTGTGACCCACTGTGTCAGTGCTATCTGTGGATGACATCTGGTGACAGGAAGCTAGGCTGTGTGATCCAGAGTATCAGTGTCACGTATGGATGACATCTGGTGACAGGAGACCAGGCTGTGTGACCCAGTGTATCAGTGCTATCTGTGGATGACATCTGGTGACAGGAAACCAGGCTGTGTGACCCAGTGTATCAGTGCTATCTGTGGATGACATCTGGTGACAGGAAGCCAGGCTGTGTTACCCAGTGTATCAGTGCTATCTGTGGATGACATCTGGTGACAGAGAACCAGGCTGTGTGATCCAGAGTATCAGTGCTATCTGTGGATGACATCTGGTGACAGAGAACCAGGCTGTGTGGTCCAGAGTATCAGTGCTATCTGTGGATGGCATCTGGTGACAGGAAGCCAGGCTGTGTGATCCAGAGTATCAGTGCCAGGTGTGGATGACATCTGGTGATAGGAGACCAGGCTGTGTGACCCATGTGGAAGCTAAATGTCTGTCATGTTGACTCAGTGCTCACTGTGATACTCAATAGGGGGCCGGCTGTGTGACCCATGTGGAAGCTGATTGTCTGTCATGTTGACTCAGTGCTCACTGTGATACTCAATAGGGGGCCGGCTGTGTGACCCATGTGGTAGCTTATCGTGTGTCATGTTGACTCAGTGCTCACTGTGATACTCAATAGGGGGCCGGCTGTGTGACCCATGTGATAGCTTATCGTGTGTCATGTTGACTCAGTGCTCACTGTGATACTCAATAGGGGGCTGACTGTGTCGTCGGTGGCTCAGTTCTAGGTGTTGCAGCACTTTTACACTACTGGTGCACTTTAACTTTAACACTAGGTAAACTTTAACACTATAGGTAAACTTTAACACTATAGGTAAACTTTAACACTAGGTAAACTTTAACACTATAGGTAAACTTTAACACTATAGGTAAACTTTAACACTATAGGTAAACTTTAACACTATAGGTAAACTTTAACACTAGGTAAATTTTAACACTATAGGTAAACTTTAACACTATAGGTAAACTTTAACACTATAGGTAATCTTTAACACTATAGGTAACCGTTAACACTACCAATGCACTTTAACACTAAAGGTGTACTTTAACAGCGCAGGTGCAGTTTAACACTGCAGGTTCACTTTAACACTGTTGGTAAGCTTTAACACTTCCAGTGCATTTTAAATATAATGGAAACATTTTAACACTACAGGAACACTCTGACACTACAGGTGCACTCTGACACTACAGGTGCACTTTGACACTCAGATTCACTTCAACACTGCAGGTGCAATAAACACTATAGGTGCACTTACTGGTCGGTCTCATGGAGCTCCTTGTTAAAGAACTGGTGATCTGTCTTTAGTGTCAGCAAGTTGTGCACCACGCTTGGAGTAGCGACTTCTTCTGCATCTTCTTCTCACTGCTTCTCCTACTCCTTCTTACTCCTCCTCCTTCTTCTTACTCCTCCTCCTCCTTCTTACTCCTCCTCCTTCTTCTTACTCCTCCTCCTCCTTCTTACTCCTCCTCCTCCTTCTTACTCCTCCTCCTTCTTCTTACTCCTCCTTCTCCTTCTTCTCATTCTTCTTTTTCTTCTTCTTCTTCTTCTTCTTCTTCTTCTTCTTCTTCTTCTTCTTGCTCTTCCTCTTCACCTCTTTCTCCTCTGCCACAGCCGCCACTTCTACTTTTCTTCTGCTGCTACTTATGCTTGTTGTTTTATTATACCCCTGCATATAGTACCTGGCTGTATACTTGTGATCTAGCCTAGCCAGTAGGTGTTTGTGAGATGTTACATCCTTCCATGCAATGTCTGGCTGTTTTGGATATAGACCTGTGCCGTGCTGTATGTATGTGCTGAAGGCGATTCTGCATGCTGTAAGGCTACCTGCCGTTCATCTGACTTTTTTTGTAGACTGAGTTGTATGTACAGCACTGATAGATGTTATGTCTTGTCTCCCTCAGGTGTGATTGTATGTATGGCACTGATAGATGTTATGTCTTGTCTCCCCCAGGTGTGGTTGTGTGTATGGCACTGATTGATGTTATGTCTTGTCTTACCCAGTGTGGTTGTATGTTTGGCACTGATAGATGTTATGTCTTATCTCCCCCAGGTGTGGTTGTATGTATGGCACTGATAGATGTTGTCTTGTCTTACCCCGTGTGTTTGTATGTATGGCACTGATAGATGTTATGTCTTGTCTCACCCAGGTGTGGTTTTATGTATGGCACTGATAGATGTTATGTCTTGTCTCACCCAGGTGTGGTTGTATGTATGGCACTGATAGATGTTATGTCTTATCTTCCCTAGGTCTGGCTGAGATCTGAGCTATGTCCACAGGCTCGTATGATGAGGCATCAAATTTGGTCAAAGATCCTACCTCCCCCTTGTCATTGGCAGAAGTAGATGACGTGTTCGATAAACTTGGAGAGGCTGAAGGTGCCACTGCTGCCGACACAGAAGATGCACACAATAAACCCACTGCTGCTTCTGGAAAAGGGCCCAAAGTAACATCAAAGCACGGTATTTTCAAAAAGCCCAAATCTTCAAAAGGTTTAGGGTTCTTAATCAAAGCTCGGGAAGGTGCCAAGAAGAGCAAGTCTCCACTTGCAGGCAAATCCAAGGGTAAGAAGCACAAGGATCTAGATGATGATGACTTTCTTGATGAGCTCGGGGCCGGTGGTGAAGGAGAGGGGGAAGTTGATGAGAATGTCAAGGCCAAGTCTGAGCACTGGCAGATGTTCCAACAGATGCAGGAGAGGATCAAACTGAACGTGCTGAAGACACAAAGTAACATCGGGAAACTTGCGTCTGGCCACATTTCTCCCTCGGGGAGAATCTCTCCTGCCAAAGACAGAGATGATGATGTGAACAGTAGCATTCGGTTTGCAAATCTCAACGAGCAGGACAGTGTGAATTCAGATCAAGGAACGGATAACACCTTAAACGCATTCGGTGAAGAAGATTCCAATAACATTAACAATTACTACGACAGCTCAGATCTAGCAAACCTCATTTCTCTTCCACATTTCACTGTGTCCTCGCCATCAGCATTCACCACTTCTTTGGGAGCAGATACCAGCTTCAGCATGGAGCAAGATGCCCTGCAGGAGGCTCTAGGTCAGGAGAGAGCTTCCAACACACCACCAGCGACCTTGGTGGATGAGTTTGACCTACTTGGTCTCAGTGTCAACCCTGTCACTACTGCCCCAGTCAGTAAGGTCTCCCAGCAGAGTTCACTGAATGAAGATCTCCTGGGTTTGGATGACTTCATGTCCCAGCCGGTGTCCCGGGACATGTCCCAGGAGAACCTCACCACAGACTGGCTGGCTGGCTTTTCCACGGCTGAGAGCAGTGCTCAGTCTTCTCTGTGCCCAAGTCCTGTTCAGTTTGATGTGGACATGTTTGTCAATCAGGGAAAGCTGGTTCCAGAGAGCACAGCAGTCTCAGACCTAGCTCGATCTCTTGTTGATGATTTCTTGCAGTGGGGGGCAGGTAATGCTGATGAACCGCTCTCCAAGAATCCGTTCCAGTCAGATGATTTTGGCTCAGATCATGGCCTTAAACCTAATGCTTTTAACCCTTTTGCAACCATTGTGGAGTCTGATGACCCTGATGGAGGCAGTGATTTCATGGGAGGCTATAGTGAGATAACTCCGTTGGAGAAAATAGGTGCAGAAAAAAGAACAGACCCATTTTGTACTGACAGTAATCCAGTGTCTGCACAGGACTTGACTTCTGCCTTTTCTTCAGTGGATCCTTTTGCTCCAAGTCCTGCTTTCTCTGCACCACTTGACATCAACGCTAATGCTGCTGTACCAATCTCTGCTGCGCCGATCCCTGCTGCACCAGCTCCCACTGCACCGGTTCCTCCAGCCCGGCCTGCTCAACATCCACACAGCAGGAAAACATCGAGGAAATCATCCAACCCCTTCTTGTTAACAGATGATGACTTTGCTGGAGGCGAGATCACTTTTGATGACAACTTCTTTGCCAGCCGTGGCATCTTCCATGCTCCATCCAAGGATCAGGACAGTATCTGGGGAGTCAGCAGTACTTCTGAGTCTCAGGTAGCTTCTTCCGGAACCTTCTCAGAGCCTGCGGCAAATCCATTCCAGGATGATTTGTTCACCACAGGCAACTTTTCTCCTGCTATCAACCAGGCATTCGGGTTTGGTGACGAGACCTCTAAAAACCAGGCATTCGGGTTTGGTGACGAGACCTCTAAAAACCAGGCATTCGGGTTTGGTGGCGAGACCTCTAAAAACCAGGCATTCGGGTTTGGCGATGAGACTTCTAAACACCAGCCCATCGGGTTTGGCGACGAGACCTCTAAAAACCAGACATTCGGGTTTGGCAACGAGACCTCTAAAAACCAGACATTCGGTTTTGGTGACGAGACCTCTAAAAACCAGACATTTGGGTTTGGTGACGAGACCTCTAAAAACCAGACATTTGGGTTTGGTGACGAGACCTCTAAAAACCAGACATTTGGGTTTGGTGACGAGACCTCTAAAAACCAGACATTTGGGTTTGGTGACGAGACCTCTAAAAACCAGACATTTGGGTTTGGTGACGAGACCTCTACACTACAACCCATTAACCCATTTTTAACTGCCAGCTTTGAGAACATAGCATCTCAGACACAGAGCCAATCCTTCTCAGCTGACAACCCATTTGCTTCCATGGTAGCAGATACAAGTCCTGCCCTAAGTCCTGTGCACAGTGGATCTCAGAATGTGGGCATGGACTCCTTGCTAGATGCTGGGTTGGATGTTAGTAAGGGAAGCAAGCCGTCGGCTAGTATAGACTTGAACTTTGATCCTCTGGCCAGGATGTCTGAGAAAACTGAAATCCTTGTAGAATCACTGGTACCTGGTGGCGATCTTTTCGGAAGCCAAGGAGACAATTTTGGGCACTTTGACACTAAACCAGTTCCAAATGAAGAAGACGGGCCATCAGGTGGACTAAAGTTGACCATCAAGAGCTTATCACAGATGGAGCAGAAGGAAACCTCAGGTCCTATACCCATGTTACCTCCACCTCCACAAAAACCACCTAAATCCCCTCTGATGCCTCAGAGGGAGAATCCTTTCAACAGAGAATCGCCACCTGAAGAGAACTTTGCCAGTTTTGCTGAAATTGAAGAAGAGCTGAAGAAGAAGGCCGAGGCTGAGTCAGCGCCTGTGGCAGACAAGAAGGAATATGTTCGGTCATTGACTTCTGAAGATAGCAGCCCAGAAGAGGAGGGTCCTTTGGAACCTTTGGAACCTTTCCATTTAAACCAGGGAAAAGAGTTCTGGAAACTGATGGTCAGACAGCCAACGAAGAAAAAGCTGGCTGGAAACAGATTCTGGAAGATGACCATTGTTCGTCTGGGCACCTCCAAGGATGGTCCAGTTGTGAGACTGTTCATGGAGGAGAAGGACACTGAACCTTTTCAGGTAACCCAGTGTTGCATGTCACTGTGGATTGTTTCCCCTGTCTCCTACAGCTGTTGTTCAGAGACTTGCTCACTTATGTGGATTCCGGGGTCTCCTTCTGGAAGAGAAAAGGAATAGCCCCACTGACTAGCTAACAAGCATGTCAGAGTTGACCAGTTAGGGAGGTTTCCTTCAGAGTTGGAGTGCATCTGTCTGAAATGTGAGGAACCAACAGTCTGCAGACAAATAAGGCAGATCTGTCAATTTGATGTGCATGCAAAACTCAGATTCTGGACAAAAACATTACAATCCAGAAGTGGATGGAACAACAAGAAGTTTTTTACAGCTGGTGAATGCAAAGAAGAAGTAGAAGAGACTTTCTCAGTTGACCTTATATGTTAATAGATTAGGGCTCTGGCTGGTTTTAGCTCTGTCATTTTGTCTGGGCTCTAAAACTCTGTGCTCTGAAACTCTGTTTGGGCTCTGAAACTTTGTCTGGGCTTTGTAATTTTGTCTGGGCTCTGAAAATCTGTCTGGGCTCTGTAACTTTGTCTGGGCTCTGTAACTTTGTCTGGGCTCTGAAACTCTGTCTGGGCTCTGTAACTCTGGGCTCTTTAACTCTGAAATTATGTCTGGGCTCTGAAACTCTGTCTGGGCTCTTTATTCCTCTGGGCTCTGAAATTCTGTCTGGGCTCTGTAACTCTGTCTAGGATCTGAAACTTTGACTGGGCTCTGTAACTTTGTCTGGGCTCTGTAACTCTACCTGGGCTTTGTAACTTTGTCTGGGCTTTGTAACTTTGTCTTTGCTTTGTAGCTTTGTCTGGGCTTTGTAGCTTTGTCTGGGCTCTGAAACTCTAGGCTCTGTAACTCTTTCTGGGCTATGAAACTCTCGGCTCTAAAAATCTGTGTGGACTCTGAAAATCTTTCTGGGCTCTGAAAATTTGTCCGGGCTATGCAAATATGTCTGGGCTCTATAACTCTATTGTCTGTAACTCTATCTGGGCTCTGAAACTCTGCTTGGTCTCTGAAACTCTGTCTGGGCTCTGTAACTTTGCCTAGGCTCTGTGACTCTGTTGTCTGGGCTGTGTAACTCTGTTGTCTGGGCTCTGTAACTCTGTTGTCTGGGTTCTGTAACTCTGTTGTCTGGGTTCTATAACTCTGTTGTCTGGGTTCTGTAACTCTGTTGTCTGGGCTCTGTAACTCTGTTGTCTGGGTTCTGTAACTATGTTGTCTGGGCTCTGTAACTCTGTTGTCTGGGTTCTGTAACTCTGTTGTCTGGGTTCTGTAACTCTGTTGTCTGGGTTCTGTAACTCTGTTGTCTGGCTTCTGTAACTCTGTTGTCTGGGTTGTGTAACTCTGTTGTCTAGGCTCTGTAACTCTGTCTGGGCTCTGTAACTTTGTGTCTGGGCTCTGTAACTCTGTTGTCTAGGCTCTGTAACTCTGTCTGGGCTCTGTAACTTTGTGTCTGGGCTCTGTAACTCTGTTGTCTAGGCTCTGTAACTCTGTTGTCTGGGCTCTGTAACTCTGTCTAGGCTCTGTAACTTTGTGTCTGGGCTCTGTAACTCTGTTGTCTAGGCTCTGTAACTCTGTCTAGGCTCTGTAACTTTGTGTCTAGGCTCTGTAACTCTGTTGTCTGGGCTCTGTAACTCTGTCTAGGCTCTGTAACTTTGTGTCTGGGCTCTGTAACTCTGTTGTCTAGGCTCTGTAACTCTGTCTGGGCTCTGTAACTTTGTGTCTGGGCTCTGTAACTCTGTTGTCTGGGCTCTGTAACTCTGTTGTCTGGGTTCTGTATCTCTGTTGTCTGGGTTCTGTAACTCTGTTGTCTGGGTTCTGTAACTCTGTTGTCTGGGCTCTGTAACTCTGTTGTCTGGGCTCTGTAACTCTGTTGTCTGGGCTCTGTAACTCTGTTGTCTGGGCTGTGTAACTCTGCCTGGGCTCTGTAACCCTGTAAGATGAATATCCAAGTGTCTTGTGTGTGGCTCAAGACTGTAAGATGTATATCCAAGTGCCAAGTATTGGGTTTAAATCTGTGCCCAAGTGTATGCCCAAGTGTCATGTGTGGGGTTAAGTCATGTGAACCCTAAGTGTAGCTGGCATTTATTGAGGTGAGGTTGCTGTGTAGACTTTCCTCTCCAGTAGCAGAGAGCTCAGGGGACCATGTAGCAAAGCTCCCCTTGCCCTGTCTGGCCCAGAGACTAGGGGGCTTTCAGCACTGGAAGCTCACATCGCCAGTAAGACATATCAGGATGTCACCAGCGTAGGATTGTCTACAGCTGGGATCAGGTCTGGGCGGGTCAGGTTTCCTCCATTGTTATGAGTTATAAGTCAAAAACCGACATTATAGCACTGTGCATTTTTTAAATAAGCGCTCTCTCCCCATCTTCGGCAGCATGCGCAAAGTTCTAGTTGGGATGGTACCTGTAACAATTTGATTGTTTCTCCATCTTGCCCCACCGCTGAGTGTTGGTCAGATTCCCTAGTTGTTTCTCCATCTGGCCCCACCGCTGAGTGTTGGTCAGATTCCCTGATTGTTTCTCCATCTACCCCCACCGCTGAGTGTTGGTCAGATTCCCTGGTTGTTTCTCCATTCGGCCCCACCGCTGAGTGTTGGTCAGATTCCCTGGTTGTTTCTCCATCTGGCCCCACCGCTGAGTGTTGGTCAGATTCCCTGGTTGTTTCTCCATCTGGCCCCAACGCTGAGTGTTGGTCAGATTCCCTGGTTGTTTCTCCATCTGGCCCCACCGCTGAGTGTTGGTCAGATTCCCTGGTTGTTTCTCCATCTGGCCCCAACGCTGAGTGTTGGTCAGATTCCCTGGTTGTTTCTCCATCTGGCCCCACCGCTGAGTGTTGGTCAGATTCCCTGGTTGTTTCTCCATCTGGCCCCACCGCTGAGTGTTGGTCAGATTCCCAGGTTGTTTCTCCATCCGGCCCCACCGCTAAGTGTTGGTCAGATTCCCTGGTTGTTTCTCCATCTGGCCCCAACGCTGAGTGTTGGTCAGATTCCCTGGTTGTTTCTCCATCTGGCCCCACCGCTGAGTGTTGGTCAGATTCCCTGGTTGTTTCTCCATCCGGCCCCACCGCTGAGTGTTGGTCAGATTCCCTGGTTGTTTCTCCATCTGGCCCCACCGCTGAGTGTTGGTCAGATTCCCTGGTTGTTTCTCCATCTGGCCCCACCGCTGGGTGTTGGTCAGATTCCCTGGTTGTTTCTCCATCTGGCCCCACCGCTGAGTGTTGGTCAGATTCCCTGGTTGTTTCTCCATCTGGCCCCACCGCTGAGTGTTGGTCAGATTCCCAGGTTGTTTCTCCATCCGGCCCCACCGCTGAGTGTTGGTCAGATTCCCTGGTTGTTTCTCCATCTGGCCCCACCGCTGAGTGTTGGTCAGATTCCCTGGTTGTTTCTCCATCTGGCCCCACCGCTGAGTGTTGGTCAGATTCCCTGGTTACTCCCGGCTGCACATTATCTTTAGACGGTGATGATCTGTTTGTGCCCCCCAACTTGCTCACTCCTAAAGGGCCTTTACATCATCTAGCTTGTCCCTTACATCATCTAGCTTGTCCCTTACATCATCTAGCTTGTCCCTTACATCATCTAGCTTGTCCCTTACATCATCTAGCTTGTCCCTTACATCATCTAGCTTGTCCCTTACATCATCTAGCTTGTCCCTTACATCATCTAGCTTGTCCCTTACATCATCTAGCTTGTCCCTTACATCATCTAGCTTGTCCCTTACATCATCTAGCTTGTCCCTTACATCATCTAGCTTGTCCCTTACATCATCTAGCTTGTCCCTTACATCATCTAGCTTGTCACTTACATCATCTAGCTTGTCCCTTACATCATCTAGCTTGTCCCTTACATCATCTAGCTTGTCCCTTACATCATCTAGCTTGTCCCTTACATCATCTAGCTTGTCCCTTACATCATCTAGCTTGTCCCTTACATCATCTAACTTGTCCCTTACATCATCTAGCTTGTCCCTTACATCATCTAGCTTGTCCCTTACATCATCTAGCTTGTCCCTTACATCATCTAGCTTGTCCCTTACATCATCTAGCTTGTCCCTTACATCATCTAGCTTGTCCCTTACATCATCTGGCTTGTCCCTTACATCATCTGGCTTGTCCCTTACATCATCTAGCTTGTCCCTTACATCATCTGGCTTGTCCCTTACATCATCTAGCTTGTCCCTTACATCATCTGGCTTGTCCCTTACATCATCTAGCTTGTCCCTTACATCATCTAGCTTGTCCCTTACATCATCTAGCTTGTCATGCATGTTTAACACCAGGTGCTGCAGAACCAGTCAGTCTATCTGCCTGTTTATTTCCCAACACACCGGCATCTCTTGGAGAAAATATCTAACCACTCTCCAATGTTAAAAACAAAAGTAAAGAATTGGATCCTGCTCGTAGACCCAGGAGCCAAGAAAGAGACAGCAGGAAGAAGTGGAAAGGAAACAGTAGTAGGAGGAGGAGAAAGAAGAAGAAATGCAGATACAAGTGGAAGTGAAAGAATAATAATTGGTAAAAATATGACAACTGTGACAACAGCAAGGCATTGTTTGTTTAGTACATCCATGACAACAGTAAGTTGTGTTTATACTTGAGGAAGCAGAGAAACTAATGCCAGTGTTGAGAATCAATACAGATAATAGCAGCAGTTGTCACAATGACAGGTAACAGGGAAAACTCTCAAGTGTAAGTCAATAGTTTCTCTTCTCTGTGACATATAATCACAGGTTTTGCTAAGTGTCTGGGTAAAGTAAGAAACTATTGGAATTTGTGAAATGGTGGCGGTGAACAAGGAAGGGGCTTCTCACAACAGTACAGTGAGCTCACAATTTAAAACACACTCAATCTCATGCTACTGGCTCCTTGTTACCTACACTCCATCTTGTGTTAAAGGAATCATGTACAGAAAGCCAGTGCACTTATATACCAACTGACAGCATTATTAAGACATCCAAACATAAGTATGAGCACCAAGAAACAGAATATAAACAGCCTATTCATACCACCAACACTGTGCTACCAGTGCCAGACTTGGACATTAACAGAGGCTAACCTGCGTAAAATTTAACCATCATCCTTTAACTGTGTGGTACCATCATCCTCTAACTGTGTGGTCCCATCATCCTCTAACTGTGTGGTACCATCATCCTCTAACTGTGTGGTCCGATCATCCTCTAACTGTGTGGTCCCATCTTCCTCTAACTGTGTGGTCCCATCATCCTCTAACTGTGTGGTCCCATCATCCTCTAACTGTGTGGTCCCATCATCCTCTAACTGTGTGGTACCATCATTCTCTAACTGTGTAGTCCCATCATCCTCTAACTGTGTGGTCCCATCTTCCTCTAACTGTGTGGTCCCTTCATCCTCTAAATGTGTGGTCCCATCATCCTCTAACTGTGTGGTCTCATCATTCTCTTACTGTGTGGTCCCATCATCCTCTAACTGTGTGGTCCCTTCATCCTCTAACTGTGTTGTCTCATCATCCTCTAACTGTGTGGTCTCATCATTCTCTTACTGTGTGGTCCCATCATCCTCTAACTGTGTGGTACCATCATCCTCTAACTGTGTTGTCTCATCATCCTCTAACTGTGTGGTCCCATCTTCCTCTAATTGTGTGGTCCCTTCATCCTCTAAATGTGTGGTCCCATCATCCTCTAACTGTGTGGTCTCATCATTCTCTAACTGTGTTGTCTCATCATCCTCTAACTGTGTGGTACCATCATTCTCTTACTGTGTGGTCCCATCATCCTCTAACTGTGTGGTACCATCATCCTCTAACTGTGTGGTCTAATCATCCTCTAACTGTGTGGTCTCATCATCCTCTAACTGTGTGGTACCATCATCCTCTAACTGTGTGTTTCACCTTTTTGACCTTCAGGAACTGCCTCTGCAGCCATGCTACTCAATCAGCGATATTTCTATGCAGCAGTATGACCAGTTCGGCAAGATCCACACAGTCAAGGTCAGTGTCACTTTTTAGATTTGGACCCCCCCCCCCCCCCCCTTTGTGGGTTCCGCGCCCAAATTTCAGAGGGGAAAAAAAAGAATAGACCTACAACTCCTCTAACAAGCATGTTGTACAAGCCAGACTAATTATTGTGTGACCATTTAGTTCTTGTAACTTATTACTTTATGTGATGGCTTAGTTTTTGTAACTTGTTACTTTGTGTGACAGTGTAGTTCTTGTAACTTATTACTTTATGTGATGGCTTAGTTTTTGAAACTTGTTACTTTGTGTGACCGTTTAGTTCTTGTAACTTATTACTTTTTGTGATGGCTTAGTTTTTGTAACTTGTTACTTTGTGTGACAGTGTAGTTCTTGTAACTTATTACTTTATGTGATGGCTTAGTTTTTGTAACTTGTTACTTTGTGTGACAGTGTAGTTCTTGTAACTTATTACTTTATGTGATGGCTTAGTTTTTGTAACTTGTTACTTTGTGTGACAGTGTAGTTCTTGTAACTTATTACTTTATGTGATGGCTTAGTTTTTGTAACTTGTTACTATGTGTGACAGTGTAGTTCTTGTAACTTATTACTTTATGTGATGGCTTAGTTTTTGTAACTTGTTACTTTGTGTGACAGTGTAGTTCTTGTATCTTATTACTTTATGTGATGGCTTAGTTTTTTGTAACTTGTTACTTTGTGTGACCTTTTAGTTCTTTGTAACTTATTACTTTATGTCATGGCTTAGTTTTTGTGACTTGTTACTTTGTGTGACAGTGTAGTTCTTGTAACTTATTACTTTATGTGATGGCTTAGTTTTTGTAACTTGTTACTATGTGTGACAGTGTAGTTCTTGTAACTTATTACTTTATGTGATGGCTTAGTTTTTGTAACTTGTTACTTTGTGTGACAGTGTAGTTCTTGTAACTTATTACTTTATGTGATGGCTTAGTTTTTGTAACTTGTTACTATGTGTGACAGTGTAGTTCTTGTAACTTATTACTTTATGTGATGGCTTAGTTTTTGTAACTTGTTACTTTGTGTGACAGTGTAGTTCTTGTATCTTATTACTTTATGTGATGGCTTAGTTTTTGTAACTTGTTACTTTGTGTGACCTTTTAGTTCTTGTAACTTATTACTTTATGTCATGGCTTAGTTTTTGTGACTTGTTACTTTGTGTGACAGTGTAGTTCTTGTAACTTATTACTTTATGTGATGGCTTAGTTTTTGTAACTTGTTACTATGTGTGACAGTGTAGTTCTTGTAACTTATTACTTTATGTGATGGCTTAGTTTTTGTAACTTGTTACTTTGTGTGACAGTGTAGTTCTTGTAACTTATTACTTTATGTGATGGCTTAGTTTTTATAACTTGTTACTATGTGTGACAGTGTAGTTCTTGTAACTTATTACTTTATGTGATGGCTTAGTTTTTGTAACTTGTTACTATGTGTGACAGTGTAGTTCTTGTAACTTATTACTTTATGTGATGGCTTAGTTTTTGTAACTTGTTACTATGTGTGACAGTGTAGTTCTTGTAACTTATTACTTTATGTGATGGCTTAGTTTTTGTAACTTGTTACTATGTGTGACAGTGTAGTTCTTGTAACTTATTACTTTACGTGATGATTTAGTACTAGTAGCTTATTACATAATGTGACAGTTTAGTTCCAGTTACTAATTACTTAATGTGATAGAGGTACACTCCAGATACCACGATGACTTTAACATCATTTATTATAATCTATCAAAAGAGTCATTCTGTCGAGTCCTAAACTGTTCCTGGTCGTTTACAACTTGCTCTTGACTGACGGCCACGTTACAGCTAAACAAAGAGGCAATTACCTTTTAGTACGAATAGTCCATTCGCGTGCAGATTTCCCATCTAGATCACAGCACCACAAAGTTCACAGTCACTAGGGATCACAATTGAGAATCAGTTCTCATCAGACATTCCAGGCGCTGCAGGTCCTCGTTGCATCAGCTCGCAATCACCGTTCACTTCAGTCTTTTCATATGAAACCTCTTGCCTCTGACATTGTCAAACAACAACTGCCACTATCTCATTTGTCCTTCGATACCCCTTGTTCTCTTCCCATGGGATGTGGTCTTGTAACTGTTCAGTGTCCCACTTGGCTATCACTTTTCTTGCTTTACCTGTTTCTCACTAGCCTGTAACACTGTTACGTCGGCATCTCAGGAAACCCTTCTAACCTCCCTGGCCTGTAACACTGTTACGTCGGCATCTCAGGAAACCCTTCCAACCTCCCTGACCTGTAACACTGCTACGTCGGCATCTCAGGAAACCCTTCCAACCTCCCTGACCTGTAACACTGCTACGTCGGCATCTCAGGAAACCCTTCTAACCTCCCTGACTGTTTGGCATTCCTAGGGTTGTGTGGTCACCATACAGCCACCTTTACTTCCACGGCTGTACCTTTAAATGTGGGTTCAGCTGGAAGCTAAGTTCAGTTTTGAGCAAATCTGCCTCTTAGGGAATTGGACTGTGAAACAAGAGGCTAGCTACTAAGCTTCCGTGGTTCCCTAAATTCTTGTGGCAGTCTCATTGTTGTGACAGTCTCATTGTTGTGACAGTCTCATTGTTGTGACAGTCTCATTGTTGTGACAGTCTCATTGTTGTGACAGTCTCATTGTTGTGACAGTCTCATTGTTGTGACAGTTTAGTTGTTCTTAGAGTATCCTCACTGCTTCTTTTCCACATTCAGATTGTCTTCTAGTTGAACATTCAGTATATCTTGTCATTAAGGAAGAAAATAGGCGCTTTTGAGCTAAAATGCTGTAGAATGATTCTCAGAATACCATCCACCATAAAAGGAGAAATGCTGACATCCTAAAGATGAGAACAGCATGGGCCAGTCAGCACAAAGATGGGCACATGATATAAGTGACATCTTTAGGTTGGAAAGTGCCTGTGGCAGGCGATCTTGCAGGAGCCTGAGTCTGTTTTGAGCAGGCTGTGGTAACAGCAATGTTCAGCAAAGGACCTACCACATGATGATGATGTCTTGTATATTTTCCTGTTCAGTATTTCTTGTATATTTATATTGAACGTTTCTTGTATTTTCAGATTCAGTATATCTTCTACCGGGAGCGAGTCGGTATCAGGCCTGAACGTATCACTCCCTCATTTGTTCGCAAACCCAAGCCCAACATGATCCTGGACCACGCCCCTCAGGTGTCGGAGCTGATCAAGCTGGGCAGCCTTGACATTGATGAGATCACTTCCTTCGTGTGGGCCATGGAAGACACCCTGATGAAGCTGGAGTGTCACCGAGACAAGACCTTGACCTACACAAAGGATGAGGTGCAGGCCGAAGTTTGGGATGAGTACTTTGCTGTTATTGACAAAGACGGCCATGTCGTTTCACAGAAGGCCAGGGTTCGGATATTTTTTCTGGCTTTTCTGACCGGCATGCCTGCTTGCGAACTAGGAATCAGTGATCGCAGAAGGAAAGGAAAGGAAGTTGTGGGGCGACATGATATTATCCCAGTCCGAACGGAAGATTGGATTCGCATTGAGGATCCTGAGTTCCACCATGTTGTGGATTTAGATACATATAATAGAACCCACAACATCCGCTTTCATCCGCTGGATGCTTGCCAGTTTGAACTTGTGCGGTTCCGGGTCCGACCCAAGGCCAATCGGGAGCTACCTCTGCAGCTGAGGGTCACGCAGTTGATGAAAGGTCGACATTTTGAGGTCAGGGTCGACCTGCTGGTGACAGGGTACCACGCCTTCAGTAAAAAATGTGGCCAGTTTCCCTGCGAGGACATTGAGGTAAGAATCAAAGTTCCAGAAGTGTGGATTTACTACTTCCGCTACGAGAAGAGGTTCGGCTACGGCTCCCTGAAAGCCATGGCTAGGAAGCCGGGACGGATCAAGGGGCTGGAGAGAATCAGCGTGATGGCTCAGGGGCTTCTGACCCCAGCCCTGATGGAGGCTTCGGTTGGCTCAGCCAAGTATGAGCATCTGTACAGATCTGTTGTGTGGAGGATACCTCGACTGCCTGAACGTAACCATGGTGAGTATTTGTGTTTAGGCAGGGTAGGCAGAGATATATTCTTTATTTGTTGCTGTAGTTAGCACTTCTTTCTCTTCCTCCTCCTCCTCTAAAAGTCACAGGACCATCTCAATCAGTACTTTGTCATGTCTGGCTGTTTATGTTCAAGTATTTTATGTTCATTGATCACACAAAAGCTTTTGATGAGTGAGACATGTGGACACAATACAAATGCTTACCACTCTACAAATTGATGGGAAAGACCTTAAACTGGTTAAGAACATATACTGGCCGCAATATGCTGCTATAAAATGCAATCGATAATGAGGTAAATCAGTGCCAGCCAGTCAAGAGGGGTATGGGACAGGGATGTTTGATGTCTCCAGATCACAGGGATATGGGACAGGGATGTGTGATGTCTCCAGATCACAGGGGTATGGGACAGGGATGTGTGATGTCTCCAGATCACAGGGGTATGGGACAGGGATGTGTGATGTCTCCAGATCAGAGGGGAATGGGACAGGGATGTTTGTTGTCTCCAGATCAGAGGGTTATGGGACAGGGATGTGTGATGTCTCCAGATCAGAGGGTTATGGGACAGGGATGTCTGGTGTCTCCAGATGAGAGGGGAATGGGACAGGGATGTTTGATGTCTCCAGATGAGAGGGGAATGGGTCAGGGATGTTTGATGCCTCCAGATCAGAGGGGAATGGGACAGGGATGTTTGATGTCTCCAGATCAGAGGGGAATGGGACAGGGATGTTTGATGTCTCCAGATGAGAGGGGAATGGGACAGGGATGTCTGATGTCTAAAGATCAGAGGGGTATGGGACAGGGATGTTTGATGTTTCCAGATCAGAGGGGAATGGGACAGGGATGTCTTATGTCTCCAGATCAGAGGGGAATGGGACAGGGATGTTTGATGTCTCCAGATGAGAGGGGAATGGGACAGGGATGTCTGGTGTCTCCAGATCAGAGGGGTGTGGGACAGGAAAGTTTGATGTCTCCAGATCAGAGGGGAATGGAACAGGGATGTTTGATGTCTCCAGATCAGAGGGTTATGGGACAGGGATGTCTGATGTCTCCAGATCAGAAGGGAATGGGACAGGGATGTTTGATGTCTCCAGATCAGAGGGTTATGGGACAGGGATGTTTGATGTCTCCAGATCAGAGGGGAATGGGACAGGGATGTTTGATGTCTCCAGATCAGAGGGTTATGGGACAGGGATGTTTGATGTCTCCAGATCAGAGGGGTATGGGACAGGGATGTTTGATGTCTCCAGATCTGTCTTCTTCATAGTGAACATGTTGAATCCTCATGGTGTAGCAGCTAGACGCTTACTTCTGACCCAAAGATTGTAGGTTCAAATCTGCATTGAGCCAGATTTTTTTCAAAAATGACCTTGGCTGCTAGGTCTATCCAGTCTGAAATGGGTATCAGGTAAAGTTCTGGAAGTAAAGGCGGCCGGCATGATGCTGACCACATCGCACACCGAGTGCTGATTGGTCTATAAAATATAGGCCCAGCACTGTATGCAGTAACAGTGCACTGTGAGCTGCTAGGCTTCAGTTGTCATGCAGTAACAGTGCACAGTGAGCTGCTAGGCTTCAATTGTCATGCCACAACAGTGCACTGTGAGCAGCTAGGCTCCAGTTGTCACGCAGTAACAGTGCACTGTGAGCAGCTAGGCTTCAATTGTCAGAAAAAATACATTAAAACCTTTACCAAGAAGAAGAAAAATGCTGCTGTGTGAAATACATGCAAATGGAAAAATTCTTCAGGAAGGAAATCATAACAAGAGCACTGACATGATCAGTGATTCTGAGGATCATGTGACATGTTGAAATGTGACTACTTATGCTTACTGCCAGAGCACATGGTGATGATTGTGTTGTTCATAAATATCATATTTATCATATTTATCATATTTATGATGTCTTTGATAAAGCTGTCATGACCAAGACATCAGAGATGTTTGTTATGTCAGATGTTGAGATAAAGCTGTCACCAACAGTACCAGGGTTGAGATAAAGCTGTCACCAACAGTACCAGGGTTGAGATAAAGCTGTCACCAACAGTACCAGGGTTGAGATAAAGCTGTCACCAACAGTACCAGGGTTGAGATAAAGCTGTCACCAACAGTACCAGGGTTGAGATAAAGCTGTCACCAACAGTACCAGGGTTGAGATAAAGCTGTCACCAACAGTACCAGGGTTGAGATAAAGCTGTCACCAACAGTACCAGGGTTGAGATAAAACTGTCCCCAACAGTACCAGGGTTGAGATAAAACTGTCCCCAACAGTACCAAGGTTGAGATCAAACTGTCCCCAACAGTACCAGGGTTGAGATAAAACTGTCCCCAACTCTACCAAGGTTGAGATCAAACTGTCCCCAACTCTACCAGGGTTGAGATCAAACTGTCCCCAACTCTACCAGGGTTGAGATGAAACTGTCCCCAACTCTACCAGGGTTGAGATGAAACTGTCCCCAACTCTACCAGGGTTGAGATGAAACTGTCCCCAACTCTACCAGGGTTGAGATAAAGCTGTCACCAACAGTACCAGGGTTAAGATAAAACTGTCCCCGACAATGCAAATGTTGAGTCACACCTGTTTATTTTAGTCTGAAATGTGCCTAACACAAGAGTGCCTCTTGTGGTAACTAATGGTACCTGTTCTGCTTGCAGGTGCATACAAGAACCACCTGTTTGTCCTACACCTAGCCTTGGGACAACATGATGAGATTCCAGACCAGCTGGAGCAGTGGGCCGATGTCTCCTTCACCATGCCAGCCTCAACAGTCTCCAAGGCTCAGGTTCGATCCATCAGCGTGGAAAACCCAGACCCCCCGGAGAAGTGGGTGCGATACATCGCCAAGTACCAGTACAAAGTAGAGATAGACAACCAAGTGGAGACGGAATCAGATAAGGATGCCAGCGACTAGCAGCTGGAGAAGCCAAGTATTATTTAAAGAAACAATGTTTGAGTGTGAGTTTTTTTGTCTGGGCCAAGTGGCATCTTGTATTTGTCAGGGGATGGTAGGGCTTTTGTGACTGTTGGGAAGTCAAGCTTGTGTGTGTGTCTTGTAAATCAAATTCCTGTCCTTAGGATCGTCATCTTCTTCTCCTTCAGCATTCCAAACTCTTGATGGTTATGACTGCAGATATCACCCCCCCCCCCTCCATTAATCTCTGCAAATGGTCCTCTCTTTCCATTGATGACTGCAAGTAGTTTATGGTTCTGCTTGGAAATTATCCCCCCCCCCCTTCCTTTTTCATGGTCTTCTTAGTCTGTCACATGGTTTACACCCATTGACCTCCCATGTGTACACAATTGTTGTCTCTGTCATCTGCCATTCTCTCAATATGTCTGTACTTACAGAAGACCTGTAAATGTCTGTACTCACAGGAGACCTGTACATGTGGGTACTCACAGGAGACCTGTAAATGTCTGTACTCACAGGAGACCTGTAATGTGTGTACTCACAGGAGACCTGTACATGTGTGTACTCACAGGAGACCTGTAAATGTGTGTACTCACAGGAGACCTGTAAATGTGTGTACTCACAGGAGACCTGTACATGTGTGTACTTACAGAAGACCTGTAAATGTCTGTACTCACAGGAGACCTGTACATGTGTGTACTCACAGGAGACCTGTAAATATGTGTACTCACAGGAGACCTGTACATGTGTGTACTCACAGGAGACCTGTAAATGTGTGTACTCACAGGAGACCTGTAAATGTCTGTACTCACAGGAGACCTGTAATGTGCGTACTCACAGGAGACCTGTACATGTGTGTACTCACAGGAGACCTGTAATGTGCGTACTCACAGGAGACCTGTAATGTGCGTACTCACAAGAGAACTGTGTTTTGTGTACTGCATACTTGATTATAAGATTAGTTGATAGATTATACAGTTGAATAATTACACAGTTAAAATTTTGTGTGACTGAATAATCACAGGGTTGTTAGGTTATATATTGTTTTAATGAAAGGGTTGGTAGCGTAGATGGTTGTTTGGCAAGTACTTTGTGGATCCAGCGGACTCAAAGCAATGAGTGGGTCATAGGTAAAGACTCCTTTGTTTAGCAATTACTTCCCAGATTTAGCTGGACTGAGGTCATGAGAAAGTAGATCAGAAAGCTTTAACTCTTTGAGGCCCGAGCAACACTGTATGTTGATTGAGAAGTTCCAGTTCACACAGACAACACTGTCTGTGTGTGTACCATATATATTTATTCACAGACAGCTCTGTATGAAGATACTAAGCAAACATACATGCTTGATTGTGGACGTGCCTGAGGTTCTGGCTGGGCCCATCCTCCATACCTAACAACCAGTTGTTTACTGTGGGTTAGGGAGTAACAACCCGCCTGGCATCATGGCACCAGTACAACCCACCTGCCATTGTGGGATGTGTAGGTTTAGTGTGTGATCAGGGAGGTGAGAGTTTCATGTGGGATCAGAAATTTGCGGTGCTATATGTGGAGCCAGAGACATGGATGAGATTGTGTGTGCTGTTAGGAATTTGTGACAGTTGTTGTGTAGCCTAGGCTACTGTGCTGCTGACATTGACAGTTGATGTGTACTCTAGGCTACTGTGCTGCTGTCATTGACAGTTGATATGTAGCCTAGACTACTGTGCTGCTGACATTGACAGTTGATGTGTACCCTAGGCTACTGTGCTGCTGACATTGACAGTTGTTGTGTAGCCTATACTACTGTGCTGCTGACATTGACAGTTGTTGTGTAGCCTAGACTACTGTGCTGCTGTCATTGACAGTTGTTGTGTAGCCTAGACTACTGTGCTGCTGTCATTGACAGTTGATATGTAGCCTAGACTACTGTGCTGCTGACATTGACAGTTGATGTGTACCCTAGGCTACTGTGCTGCTGACATTGACAGTTGTTGTGTAGCCTAGACTACTGTGCTGCTGACATTGACAGTTGTTGTGTAGCCTAGACTACTGTGCTGCTGTCATTGACAGTTGTTGTGTAGCCTAGACTACTGTGCTGCTGTCATTGACAGTTGTTGTGTAGCCTAGACTACTGTGCTGCTGACATTGACAGTTGTTGTGTAGCCTAGACTACTGTGCTGCTGACATTGACAGTTGATGTGTAGCCTAGACTACTGTGCTGCTGTCATTGACAGTTGTTGTGTAGCCTAGACTACTGTGCTGCTGTCATTGACAGTTGTTGTGTAGCCTAGACTACTGTGCTGCTGTCATTGACAGTTGTTGTGTAGCCTAGACTACTGTGCTGCTGTCATAGACAGTTGTTGTGTAGCCTAGGCTACTGTGCTGCTGTCATTGACAGTTGATGTGTAGCCTAGACTACTGTGCTGCTGTCATAGACAGTTGTTGTGTAGCCTAGGCTACTGTGCTGCTGACATTGACAGTTGTTGTGTAGCCTAGGCTACTGTGCTGCTGACATTGACAGTTGATGTGTACCCTAGGCTACTGTTCTGCTGACATTGACAGTTGATGTGTAGCCTAGGCTACTGTGCTGCTGTCATAGACAGTTGTTGTGTAGCCTAGGCTACTGTGCTGCTGTCATTGACAGTTGATGTGTAGCCTAGGCTACTGTGCTGCTGTCATAGACAGTTGTTGTGTAGCCTAGGCTACTGTGCTGCTGTCATAGACAGTTGATGTGTACCCTAGGCTACTGTGCTGCTGACATTGACCATTGATGTGTAGCCTAGACTACTGTGCTGCTGACATTGACAGTTGTTGTGTAGCCTAGGCTACTGTGCTGCTGTCATAGACAGTTTTTGTGTAGCCTAGGCTACTGTGCTGCTGTCATAGACAGTTGATGTGTACCCTAGGCTACTGTAATGCTGTCATAGACAGTTGATGTGTACTCTAGGCTACTGTGCTGCTGTCATAGACAGTTTATGTGTACCCTAGGCTACTGTGCTGCTGACATTGACAGTTGATGTGTACCCTAGGCTACTGTGCTGCTGACATTGACAGTTGATGTGTACCCTAGGCTACTGTGCTGCTGTCATAGACAGTTGATGTGTAGCCTAGGCTACTGTGCTGCTGTCATTGACAGTTGATGTGTAGCCTAGACTACTGTGCTGCTGTCATAGACAGTTGATGTGTAGCCTAGACTACTGTGCTGCTGTCATAGACAGTTGTTGTGTAGCCTAGGCTACTGTGCTGCTGACATTGACAGTTGTTGTGTAGCCTAGGCTACTGTGCTGCTGACATTGACAGTTGTTGTGTACCCTAGGCTACTGTGCTGCTGTCATAGACAGTTGTTGTGTAGCCTAGGCTACTGTGCTGCTGACATTGACAGTTGTTGTGTACCCTAGGCTACTGTGCTGCTGTCATTGACAGTTGATGTGTACCCTAGGCTACTGTTCTGCTGACATTGACAGTTGATGTGTACCCTAGGCTACTGTGCTGCTGTCATAGACAGTTGTTGTGTAGCCTCGGCTACTGTGCTGCTGTCATTGACAGTTGATGTGTAGCCTCGGCTACTGTGCTGCTGTCATAGACAGTTGTTGTGTAGCCTAGGCTACTGTGCTGCTGTCATAGACAGTTGATGTGTACCCTAGGCTACTGTGCTGCTGTCATTGACCATTGATGTGTAGCCTAGACTACTGTGCTGCTGACATTGACAGTTGTTGTGTACCCTAGGCTACTGTGCTGCTGTCATAGACAGTTGTTGTGTAGCCTAGGCTACTGTGCTGCTGTCATAGACAGTTGATGTGTACCCTAGGCTACTGTGCTGCTGTCATAGACAGTTGATGTGTACCCTAGGCTACTGTGCTGCTGTCATAGACAGTTGATGTGTACCCTAGGCTACTGTGCTGCTGTCATAGACAGTTGATGTGTACCCTAGGCTACTGTGCTGCTGTCATAGACAGTTGATGTGTACCCTAGGCTACTGTGCTGCTGTCATAGACAGTTGATGTGTAGCCTAGGCTACTGTGCTGCTGTCATAGACAGTTGATGTGTACCCTAGGCTACTGTGCTGCTGTCATAGACAGTTGATGTGTCCCTAGGCTACTGTGCTGCTGACATACAGATGGTCCCATGTGTTGACTGTCTGAGTGTGGCTGTGAACTGTCGCAATAATGTTGTCCCTGTGTTGTGTCAGTCATAGACAGGATGTCTGGATGTTGTGAATCATCTTTACACTCCTGTCTCCCTGCATTGTGTCAGTCATAGACAGGATGTCTGGATGTTGTGAATCATCTTTACACTCCTGTCTCTCTGCATTGTGTCAGTCATAGACAGGATGTCTGGATGTTGTGAATCATCTTTACACTCCTGTCTCCCTGCATTGTGTCAGTCATAGACCGGATGTCTGGATGTTGTGAATCATCTTTACACTCCTGTCTCTCTGCATTGTGTCAGTCATAGACAGGATGTCTGGATGTTGTGAATCATCTTTACACTCCTGTCTCTCTGCATTGTGTCAGTCATAGAGTCATAGACAGGATGTCTGGATGTTGTGAATCATCTCCACAATGTTGCATTGTTTTGGCAGAAGTAGACGTGTCATGAACTATCTCAGCACTGCTGTCCCTGTGTTGTGTCGGTTAAAGATGTGACATCTGCATGTTGTGAACTATCTCAGCACTGCTGTCCCTGTGTTGTGTCAGTTAAAGATATGACATTTGCATGTTGTGAACAATCTCAGCACTGCTGTCCCTGTGTTGTGTCAGTTAAAGATATGACATTTGCATGTTGTGAACTATCTCAGCACTGCTGTCCCTGTGTTGTGTCAGTTAAAGATGTGACATCTGCATGTTGTGAACAATCTCAGCACTGCTGTCCCTGTGTTGTGTCAGTTAAAGATGTGACATCTGCATGTTGTGAACTATCTCATCACTGCTTCTTGTGTTATGTGAGATATGATTTGATATCAAGATATGTAAACTATCTAGATGCTACTGTCCCTATCTGGATGTCAAGACTGCTAATTT